CCTCTGCCTGTGAAGTCTGCATACCCAATTTGTGCCCTGCCCCGAATTCTGGCCAGGAGGCTTCTCCTCTCGTTCAAATTGTTACAAAGTTCAGCTAGAGAATTCTTTCCCCCTGTGGAGTTTTACCCCCTGTTCCTCTGGCCACCCTCCCAATGGATCCCTGTGGTGCCAGGCAGGAATGGGCTGCTTGGGGACCCAGTGAGCTCCCAGGGCCTTTCTGCTGCTTCCTCTACCCTTGTATTTCACTCCTCTCTCTAACTTGACTCAGCTCCAGGTAAAGTCGGAAACTTCTCCTGCAAACAGATCTTCAGCTTCTCCAGTGGGGGTGTGTATTTGGGAGAGGCAGTCTCCCTTTCCCATCTCCACAACTGGGGCGCTCACAGTATTTGGGGTGTCTCTCGGGCCCTGCAGGAGCAGTCCATTTTCCTTCAGAGGGTCTATGGGTCTTCTTGGGATTGCTGGTTTCTTCTTGCAGTGGATCTGGAGCTAAAATTCACAGTGCAAGCCTCCGCATGCTGGTCTGTCTGGAGCTGCAATCTAGTCCTGCCTCCCGTCTGCCATGATCCCCTGAATCCCCAAGAAAGAATTTAGTATCAATTATTGGCCTACAGTATAAACTCCTTGAGATCAGAGACAACCTTTTTGTTCTCAATGTCTAGCACCTAATGTTAATCCTCTCAATTATTCTTAAACTATTGAATGGGATATGATGCCTCTCCTAAGGATCTTTGCAATTAAAACCTTATCTCTAAATAGAATGAAAGATTTAATCTCCTAATAAAGACATTACAAGGGAAGTGGGGCATAGAAGGTATTTTTTGCAGAACATCCTTCCAGTATTCCTGAAAAAAATATCACATTGGTTGACTTTCTTGTCTGAACATGAAGCAGGTTAGAGTGCTGGAAGCAGATCTGGTGAGAGGAACCCATCAATCCTCCTCCCCTGAGAGGTGAGCATTGGCAGTAAAGAGATGGGCACATTCAAATGGTATGAGTTTAACGAAGGACTATTAAAAGGAACCCAACAATAGATAATCAAGTATTCTGGGAATAGCATATAAAGGAGCTGTTACGACTCTCATGCCTGAAAAGACAAGGGCACAGGCAATCTAATAGGAGTTGTAGCCTTCAGTAGAGGCAGTCAACCCACAATGACTGGGCAGGGAGGGAGATGAGGGAATAAAAACCCTGATCTCATTCTCCTCTCCTCCTACCTACCTAGCTCTTCCTGGGGCTTCACTGACCAAAATCAACTAGGAGCTAAAAAGTAAGGGAACCCATAGGAGCAGACTAATAAGAATCAACCTGCTAGGACAGAGCAGGATGGAAAAAAGCAGAAGGTGGACCTGGAGTGGCAGATGGAAAGGATCCAGCCTTCTACTGAAATAGCTCGCTGACAAGCATGACAAATTCCATGCAAGCTTTGGCAGGACAAGCCCAGTTCTGACCCCTGATTCCAAAATCTGTTCACCTCTGGTCTCCACAGGTCTGCCCTCATGAGAGTACGAGCAAGAGTCACCATACCTAGGAGAAAATTATCAGAGTTTAATGTTTATTTCAAAGCCACAAAAAAGCACCTCTACTTTATCCAAGCTTTGCCTGAGGTGGGAAATGTTGTATTTTAAAGCCTTGATTTAAGTAAGAAAGTCTCTCCACTCCCAAAACTGAATGATGTGGATGGCTGATTCCACGGTCCTGCCCACAGCCCAGTCACATCTCAACCCACCTGAAAGTTTCCAAGCTCTTTAAAATGACCACGTCTGCTGGGTTCCAGGTCTATAGGCTCCTTTCTGTGAAGACAAAAGAGCTTAGCTGTCTTGTAAGATTGGAATAATCTTTTGAAGCAGCAGCATTCTGGTGGAGAATAATAACTTCCCATAGCTTCTTGCAAGTGCAGCTTGCTGGAAAGGAATAGTGTTCCCCACCCGCCCGCACCCCCCTGCCCCCTGCCCAGAGGGCTTTATGAGAAAACAAACTGGAAAGATCTGTTGGAGCCACAAAAGCAGATTCTCTTTCTCCTTCTTTTCTCCTTTATATCTCATTTTACTTTAGCCATAAAACACGCATCGGATTGTAGAAATTCAAGCCCATCTCAGCTTGAATGAGGCCAATTTCCGTGCTGATGAAATAGTTGACAGCAATGCAGGCTTGTTCATTCTTCACTGAAATGGGTTCCCCACCAAAATTCACAGGAATATACCAAGAATCTAATGAAATAAAAGTTTTTAGAAATCCCTTTGAAAAATATACCAGAATAATCAAAGATTCTATATTAGTAAAAGGCCTTAATAGTACCCTTTCGTATATAAATGTAGTCCTCCTTGCTTGGGAACCAACTGTCAAAAGACCATAAGTTTCAAAAGAATGGGTTTAAGGTAAGCCAATATGATGTCAAATTTTGTGGAGTCCAGATGGTTCTGTCAAGCTTGTCTTTGGCTGCTTGGCTTGTGGGGATTTTTCTTCTGAGAACTAAATAAACGTGGGTGGTAGAAACATAGCTAGCAACCTAAGAAATACACATGAATCACTGTAGTAAATGTTTCAGAGTATATGCCCATTCTGAGCTCCACTTCATCAATCCTCCTCCCCCTGAGAAGTGAGACCCTGAAGCCACGTCATTGCCATGTCTCCACCACTTGTTGACCACAGCTAATTAGACCAAAAGTAGATACTTAACTCAGAAAAACCAATTCAGAATCTATACTGTCAGAAAAAAAAAAAAAGTCTTTCATCATTTGGTATTGGGACACAGAAAGGTCAGTAAAACTACCTATAGGCAATCATCTTATAAACTGATAGAAACTTGACTAAAGGCCACCATTTAGAGGCAGCTATGACATTCCATACATAAACATGGCAGAAGAATCAGCCTTGAGGAATAAAAAAAAAAAAATGAAGCCACTAATAGAGATTAGAAGATATAAAAGACCATATACTCCAAAGAGAGATATGAATACAGATAGGAGAGGTCTGCCTTGAATTATGTTGACTTTCCAGGTCCTGTTTCCAGTCCCTACTGAGGCCTGATTGTAGGTATTGCCCTTAAGATCTTGGAGATATCCTTGTGTCTGTTCAAGAAATACCTCCTTTTGCTTAACCCACTTTGGATTTTACCATCAAAATTATTTGTGGACATAATTAACTCTGGAAAACGCAAATCAGTCATCTCAGGGCTTTAGCTTCCAGAAGCAATATCATGTAGGCACAGGGATTCCCAAAAAAGTGTTGAGCCTGGTTCTCTAACATCAGGATGGAGTATGTTAAAGGGAATTTTTCTACAGGATTGAAGGAGACAGGATGATTGGCAGTCCATCCACAGAAGATGGAGTTACATGAGGCAGCTATTAATTCCCTGGCACTGGTAGGTGGGTAGGGTATGTTAGGGGCAGGGATTCTTCAAGGGACTTGCTTCCTTACTCTGTTTTTTTTCAATGCTTTACACTCAGCAGAACCCCAAGACGTGTGTTTACATTTTGCTGTCACCCGTAGCATTGCCTGTTTTATGCATCAACCTGATCTTCATGTTAACCATACCAAGCTTATGATGTTGTACTGACCCTACCGAATCACACTTGTTTAATTCAGCAAAGATAAAAACATTAAAGTTAACTTTAAAGCAATGCCTGATAAAATATGTAACATTTCCTTAAAAATGACACAATGTACTTTTATTTTTCAAAGCTCTTGTTTGTTGTTGATGTAACATCTCCAGGTAGTGATAAATTTTGGGTTATGTGCCCTATTTCAAAAGGCTTCTTACGTATTCTATGTTCTCCCTATAGAAATCCCATGAGTCTGGAAGCGCAGGCATTAATAAACTTATTTAAATGGAAAAAGTGAGGCTCAGTAAGTGAGATGCAGCTACCCAATGTTTTTCAGCTAATATGTGAATGAGTAGGGACACAAATTCAGAAGTTGTAACTCTGAAACCTATATTCTTTCCACTATAGAAGAAGTGTAGAATTCTGAAAAATGTCTAAAATACAGTCTTTATTGTGGGAACCTATTTAACATGGGTTCTCACTACAGTGTTTCTAGTTAATAAAACATGAGAGTAAGACTATATCTGACTCGTTCATACATTCCTAGCACCTAGAAGAATATGGAATATGTGAAAGGTGTGTGACTTGGGGTGGGCCTGCCAGAAGCAAACTCTGAAATAAGGATTCATGTGAAAATGAATTATTAGGAGGTGTTCTCAGGAAACCAATAGGGATCTAAGGAAATGAGACTAGGAAGGGAAGGAAATCAAGCAAGGATAGTACATTAATTCCCAAGGATAGTAACTTTGAGTCAATCCCATAGGCAAGTTCTGGAGAGAGTCTAGGTCACACCTCAGAGTGGTCCCCATAAGGGGAAACTGACTGGAGCATTTATTTCTTCCTACCTATCAATCATTTTTTAAGGGATGCGCACAGAGGAATGTAAATTTCCAGGCACTTTTAGTTATTCAGGTGAAATGGGTCTTTGTCAGCTTGAGGGCAAATCTTTGACAATGCAACATAGACGCTGGCTTTCGAGAGTTAACAGCACACCAGGATTCATGTGCACAAAAATGAAAAAGGGGTCCAAGGAAATATGAACAGCAACAGCACAATGATGGCATCTGGCACAGTGTTCAATAAATAGTTGTTGAATGAAAGAAATTGAGGAAGGAAGGATGAAAAAAGGCAGGAAGGAAGGGAGAAAAGATGTAGTATTATCTAAATATCCTAGCAACATTTGGAGATAGATACATTTTTCTCCATTTTTCTGATGAAGTAACTGAAGCTCAGAATGGTTACAAAATTTGCTGAGGTAACACAGCTTGTAATAGTAGAGCCAAAATGCAAGCATGTCTACCTAGCTCCAAAGCCTCTGTACTTTCACTGCTCTATCACGTCGAACTGTCATTCACATGCTGCCTGACCTCCATAGAAACTGCCTGACCACCTTTTTTAACCCACCAAGAGTCCACTGTCTTGGGTGAAAATCTGGATCATTTTGTAGCATCCACATACCTTTGTCCCAAGCACACATCTTCTCTTGTGCCCTAAGATCTTGTCCATTTGAAACAGGATTAGAAAAAAGTTGGACATACAGATGTTCAGATAAAAAGTGTTGACACCATTCCCTATGCAAAAACAATGAAAGATGCCAAGGCCTAATGAAGAGTCCAGTCTCCTGAAATCTCCTGGCATTTTCAGCAGACTGCAGTTTTCTGAGAATGTCTGTGTTTTCCAGAGCATGTCTGCTCAGAATGTATGAGCCAAAACCTCCTAGGGATTTTCCATCAGTTGTTTATATTGTGCCTGGATCTACTCGAATGAGTTTATTATAAATAAGATAGAGCGATGGTATTTTTTCATGAATTGAGACTGAAAATTGGTTTTAAATATTGTTTTCAGCTCTAGACTAACTATAAATGGCATTTAGACTGATTGCACTATTAGCAGGTAAAGGGTGCTGAGTTTTAAGGGATTACAACCTGATTTAATATAATTATGAAACCAAATTATAATTAGAGGGGTTTGGTAGGAGGTTATAAGAAGCAGCTATTTCCTTTTTTGTATAATACTAAAACATATCCTATTAAACAGACAATTTTCTTTCAAAAGAAGAGAAAGGAAATTGAATTTTAAATGTTCCCAGGCTTAGTGCTCTAGTTGTGGCATTAACCAGCCTCTGCTTTCCTCTAGGATTCTTCTATCTTTCTCCACCAGTCTCCATCACATCCATCCAATCTGTCTCATTAAACATCCTAACCACCCTCTTAACTTTAATTTCAAAACAGGACTAAACTAAGGCTGATAAGAGGTCATTGGGTCTATTAAGGGTATTCCTTAGGGCAAAACTGTGAAATCAGATTGAATTTCATCTTTACCTTCCTGTCTTGTGCCTTCTTAACCTTTCAGTGCCCCCCTCATCCCCCACCAAGTTTCCAGAGTGGTCATACCGTGAAGAATTGATGATTGATAATCACTTAAGTTGTGGAGCTGTTTCAAAGCCACTGCCTTTTACAGTAGACCAAAATTAATAAATAAATAATGTTTAACCTAAAAGGGGCTTCCTGAAGCTTCACAAAGCAGTCCACATAAAGTATGATCTAGTTCACTTGATGGGCTATGTAAACTAAGATAATGCCTGCCTTTACAACTCTTTTTAATAAGAAATTTAACCTCCCCATAATGGAGAAAATACAACCTTAGCACAGATGATTACTCCACAGAACTATATCTCTGTTAATCTCCCCTCTGGACATCAAGGTAACCTCAGCTTTGTCCTAGATGACACACAGCTGACCACAGAAATATAAATCCCAGACAGCCCAGCATAGTTCAGAAAAAACATTCAACCTGTAAACTCATGAGGAGTCTACCTGAGTCTCCTCATGGCTCAACAAATGGAGGTTGTTTTAAGCAACTTAGCTTTAGAGTGGTTTGTTATGCGGCAGTAGCTAACTGATTCAGGACTAGTACCTCATCATGTATAAGCTAACATTATACAGAGCATATACAAAAAAAGAAGTACCCTGGAAGAAAGACAGATGATCTTAGACTATAACTATGTGAATAAACACACACACACACACACACACACACACACACACCCCATGATACACTGTATTCCTTTACTATTTGATCCATCAAACATGAAAAGGATAGGTTTAGACACTGCTCATAATTTATGAAAATTAATGCCATGGTTTGGATACTTTGGCCCTGCCAAGTCTCATGTTGAAATCTGATCACCAGTGTTGCTGGTAGGGCCTGATGGGAGGTATTTGGATCCTGGGAGCAGATCCCTCATGAATGACTTGGTGCCATTCTCTCAGAGGAGTGAGTTCTCACTCTAAGTTCCTGTGAGAACCAGTTGTTGAAAAGAGCCTGACACCTCTCTCTCTGTGTCTCTCTCTCTCTCCCTGCTATGTGATCTCTACATGCCAGCTCCCCTTTGCCTTCCATCATGAGTGGAAGCACCATCATGAATGGAAGCAACTTAAGCCCCTCACCAGATGTGGATTCCGGTGCCATGCTTCTTGTACAACCTTCAGAACTGTGAGCCAAATAAACCTCTTTTACTTATAAATTGCCCAGCCTCAGGCATTTCCTTATAGCAACACAGACTAAGACAGAACTAAGACAAAGTTTTAAATCATTATTCACCATTATCTGGAGATTGCAAAACAGCCCACTTTAGCTCCCCCATCTTTGTATTTTTTTATTAAGACATTCTCTTCACTATGACATCCTTGACTCATGTGGCCCAGGGACATATTTCTGCACTCTTTTTCCTATCAATTATCCTGAGTGATAAAAAAAAGAAGGTAAAATGGTAGATCTGAGTTTATCCTGAAAAATGTATATTTTGTGAGTTAGATCCCAAGCACCGCCCTTCCCCAGTAGCTGATGCCCAAGGCTATTTGTAAGGCATACCCTTAACTACTCTATGCTAGTGTGGATTTCCATCCCTGATTGGTAGGCAGTTTTCCTAGGAATTACCTGAGTCTTGCTTAGAGGCCTATCTGTATGTTATGGAAAACTGATAACTACCCATATCAGCTGCACTAAAGACTATGGACTTTTCAAACAATAGCATCAAAGCCTGTTTTGTTTTGTTTCCAGAAATAGTGCATGCATCCTGTTTTTTTAATGGACCAGGCCTCATCTCTTATCCTTAGGATCCGTAGTTCTTGAAACTACTTCTTATAATGTCATCTGCAAGTTTTCAAAGTGCTTTCAAATCTCATTTCATCTTCATAACAGTCTTGAGACAGACAGGGAACTAAGTATCAGAAAATTAAATTGGTTTTTCCCAGGGTCATGCCAGATTGTTAAATGGCAAAGACCATTTCAGCACAAACTCCTGTTTATTTTTCAAGTTCAATCTCAAATGCTCCCCTCTCTGTGAAGCCTCCCAGACTCCACAGGCAGAATTAAAGGGTCCGTCCTCATAGCGCTTTATGATATGACCAGGTGTTTTAGTTTACTCCCTACTGGAAAGTGGTTTCTCCAAACCTCAGGAAAACCATGTCTTCTTCTTCTTATCCACAGTGCTCAGCATTATACAAAGAGCTCTTTGACACCTTTTTAGTAGATGCATTGATTAATTCACAGATGATGACTTTTTTAGTACAAACCATATAAATATCCTCTGGCAGTAGTGTAGGAAAGAAGAAACATCACAAGTCTAGAATGTAGAACTCAGGTAGAATCCTGGCTCTGACACTTATTAACTGAGTCACCTTGGATTCACCTCACTGAGTCTCCATTTCCTTACCTGCCAAAGATTTTCTTCTACAGCCACATGGTTAAGGCTAGTTTCCAACAGTGTGATTACACTATAGTCAGTGAATACAAAAAAAAAAAAAAAAAAAAAAACAAAGTGGGGAAAAAGAAGAGAGGCAATAAAAAGAAATGGTAGAAATAGACCATGGCAAGTTTAATCATGTAACAAGAACGACAATTCGGAGGCCCCATCATTACCTTTGTAACTTTATTTAATTGTTCAGAGTATAACTTTCAAACTCCTACAATGTATAAAATGCTTAGCTCTGTGCATGTAGTTGAGTGAAAGCATCATCTCTCCAGTCTTCAATATAGCATAGCAGCTTTTTGTGGAGAGGGGGATAATCCTGAATGTCTCATATTTTGTTACTGCTAGGACTTCAGTGGAGAAAACCATGTTTTCTAGTAGCAATACTTGCTCAGACTTGCCTAGTATTTTACAACTTCAGTGGTGGTAGTCATGATTTTGCAAAATATACAGCATTCTCCATATCAGAGACTGTAATATACAAGCAAACCCCCATCCAATCACCTTTCCACCTTATGTACATATGTCACTTGGTAACCACAGATTTAGACAGATTCGTTTTTGCTCCAACCTAAGGACGCTCCTATTCTTGTGCTCTGCATCTCAGAGAGGATGAATGCTGACCATGCCCTGGGAAGAGTAGGAACCTGGGTAAATCATCAACCCACTCCTACACGTCAAGCAAGATATTAGAGTTTCAGTATGACTGTCATTTCCTCTACTGGCAGGGAGTGATAAAGGAAACATACATTCCTATTGTCTGTCCACCCTTCAGACTGATGGATTACCTGAATGGGAAGGGATATTGCTCCTGGACTCCAGAAAATTATAGATATCTCTTCATGAATGTTAATATCAGATGATGGGGCAAAACTGTCACAGCAGAGGCAAGAACTCTCTGGTAATCCATTCTTCCTTTAGTTTGTGCTCCAAAAATAAATAAGCAATGTCTTTTACCTTCTCCCATTTTCCACATATTATTTCCTTTAGAAAGTAAGTAATAACATCATCCTTCCTTCACTAATGGCCTGTTGGCCATAATTTGAGGCTTAAAAGCAGGATAATGTGTTTCAAATAGAGGTTCTAGGAGGCTGAACATCAACACTCTGTTATAAGAGAATATTGGTAATAGTCTGCCAACCAGAAGGTTGACCCCATTTGTTATAGTGGAAAGTTTTAGCAAGTAGAATATCATAAATAAAGCCTATGATATTAATACTAACAGCAAGGCTCTAATTAATCAAAATTCTCTGGAAATGGGGTGTTTCCAGAAAATAATTAAGGATTTACCTGAAAACCCACTTTATTTCACCATTTGCAGTAAAAAGTTTTAAAACTCATTTCCCCCTTCTTAACCTTCATAAATGTGAGTTACTTTTTATCAACTGAAGGCTGTATAGTCCCCCAAAGTCCTCATTGTAAAGGTGACTATACTTCAGATGGAGATGGAAAGGCATAAAACATGTGAACAATCAGCCTTAATGGATCTGACCCAGGACCCTACCCTGGAAGTTGTTTTACTAGCTAAATCCCTGATGTCAATTGGTTTTCTGGCCATTGGCCTCTTTATCTTATAAGTCTAGGCCAAAGCAATTCCCAACATTTGGCTTCACTAAGCTAGGGTTTACAGTAGGAGAAGGCAATTATACTGTTTTGTGATGAATGTTAGCATTATATTAGAGCTCAACCTTTAAAAAAAAAACTTTTAAAAGAGATTTTTGAAGGGTAACATAGAGTGATTTTAAGATAAGGACACATATCTCATTACCTTCTGTTCACCTCTCCCTACCCTAGCAGTCTTTGCTTGAGGACAAGCACGCATGGCTGTGAATTTTCAGTCATCAAGGCTGGCTTCTTTTTTGGTGGACAAAATATTGGTATAGATGTCAGACTCTGCAGGAATCATTAAGACTATAGACCAAAAGTCCACAAAAAC